ACTCAATCATCACCATATCTACTTGATCAAAGATTTTTGCTGACTTCACCGGACGTTGCTTGACATAAGGTGTTGTCTTGGAAGATATGCACAAATAACTTGATCTCCAAGTACAATAATGATACTTAGGCTTGATCTTAATCAAGAATCATCTCTTGAGTGACCTACCAAGCACCCTTACTTAAGCAAACACATCAAGCATCATCATTTGATTAAGATACCAAGCACAATTACTTGATAAATAACTTGTCAAACACCATCACTTGAGCAAACACATCAAGTATCATCACTTGATTAAACATATCCTTGAACATCAAGAGTAATGAAGACTCTTCTTAAGAGCATTGTCAACATCAAAATCAAGTCAACATGTTGTTGCAATTTTCATACATGTAAGCACATAGATCAACATAAAGGGTTAGGATTGTGTTTCCCTTTAAATAGTGTTCTTAAGACCTATTTTGGCAAGTAAAATCATCTAAAATCATGTTGATTTTTCTCAGAAGAGATAAAATTGCAAACCCTTCAAAATTGAGCTCACTAATCGATTATCAAAAGGCCTAATCGATTATGTCTTAATAAAAATATGATTATTTAGCGCGTTTGTCCTTGCGATTTGATTTGATTGGGATTTGGAGAAAAAATAAGCTTTGCATTGATTGATCTCTTTGAAATATTGAAGATATGAGAGAAAAAAGAGAAAATAATCAATTATAATCTTAGGGTTAATTAATTCGGATGCGCACAACCCAAATTTCAATTGCCCCTAATCGAATAGCCACTACGCCAGAAATGACTTTTAGCAGCGCAACAAAAGACAGCGCTTTCTAAAAAAGCGCTGCTAAAGGGTCATGAAAAAAAAAACAAAAAAATAGCATACCTAAGACAGCGCTTGTTAAAAAAGCACTGCTAAAGGGGGGGTCAAAGAAAGCTCTTTAAAAAAGCGCTGCTAAAGGGGGGGGTCTACGAAAGCGCTTTTAAAAAAGCGCTGCTAAAGGGGGTCCTAAGGCAGACCTATAGCAGCGCTTTTAAAAGCGCTGCTAAATGCCAAAAAAAGCGCTGCTAAAGGGGGTCCTATAGCAGCGCTTTTAAAAGCGCTGCTAAAGGGGGTCCTATAGCAGCGCTTTTAAAAGCGCTGCTAAATGCCAAAAAAAGCGCTGCTAAAGGGGGTCCTAAGGCAGACCTATAGCAGCGCTTTTAAAAGCGCTGCTAAATGCCAAAAAAAGCGCTGTTATAGGTTTAAGTAGCATAAATTTAAAAAATCTCAATATTTTTACAGAATCAGAACAGTCTTCTTCTTTCTTATTTCCACTCGCAAACGTTGCCCTATTCAGAATTAGAACAGTCACCATCGACGCATTTCGTCCGCGCCTCCGTCCGACAGCCTCCATCCGTCGCCTTTCCTCCGGTCATTTCGTCGTCACCTCATTCTGCCGCCGTCCGTCCATTTTTGACGGTCATCTCCGTCCTCCACCAGCGCATTTCCACCATTTTAAGGTATTTGAAGTTTTTTATTTTTCATTTTTATTGTTCTCATAGTTGAATGCATTATTGGAGTTTGAATCTTTTAGTTGCTTTTGTCTTAGGTAAATAGTATTTACTTGGAATAATTTTGTTTTCCTTCCACTCTTGACTATACTATATTTGTAGTTCAAAAAGTTGCTTCTAAGTTGTTCGATGAAATGTCACAGTTAAATGAATTGCCTATGGTCATGTACTTTTGTAAGTACATCCTGTAACTCCTTTTTCTCTATTAAATTTCAATGTGTTTTTTGGTGTTTTTGTATTCATCGTAATTACCAATGATCATTTTTATAGTTCACAAAGCTGCTTTTGATGTGTTCGATGAAATGCAGCAATTAAATGAATCACTGATGATCATATGTTAGTTACATGACATGGAGAAATCATATTTATCACCTATGAATATAAATTGATTTAGAGTAGTATTTTGTAAAAGGTATTTGAAATGTTGCTAATTTAGATTTGAACTATACTGATTATATTGTGTATTTTAGCCTTAGAATGATTGCAAGTTACTCATTTCTCTTTTATAGACATACTCATTTATAATTGGTGAGGGAAAATGCTGAGTGATAATATTCATGATTTTTTGGGATTTAAGGTGAGATTGTGCCTTGTGAATAGTATGTTGCTTGCAATAAGATGATATATATATATATATATATATATATATATATATATATATATATATATATATATATATATATATATATATATATATATATATATATATATATATATATATATATATATATATATATATATATATATATATATATATATATATATATATATATATATATATATATATATATATATATATATATATATATATATATATATATATATATATATATATATATATATATATATATATATATATATATATATATATATATATATATGAACAGTGACTTAGTGAGTGATAACTTACATTTGAGGATAGAAAATTAGGGTGTTTATGGTTTGAAGTATATCAAGTTTGGGAAGTGTTGATACAAGTAGAGACAATTAAAGAGGCACTGAAGATTATATTGTTTGATTATGTGTATGATATTGGTTTTTCACATTGACTTAGTTAGTTGCATGGTCTTGTCAACTTTGTGTCATTGGATGTCTGAAGTGCAATCATGGGATAATTGGACTGTAATACTCAAACATATATGGATGTGATACTCAAACATAAAAAAAACATTAACATCATAATTTTAGCGTTTATTCATACTGTGTACATAACATAACAATTGATGTTTCTGAAGGGCTTATCTAATCTTGTGTGTGCATAATGTAATACTTTGTAGGGTATAAATTAAACCAACAATCTTAAAACCATAGAGTCACATAAGACTAATAATAATGCTTATGATTTCAAATGAATTTATAATAAAAAATATCTACTTTTGATTTACATGAGCTATCTGAGACGATTTCAATGTTTTAAATAAGTAGAGTTTTCTAAGTAGATTTCAATGTCTTAAATAAGTAGAGTTTTATAAGCAAATGGATGTTAAAATTTGTTAACTATATATCCTGATAAATAGTTATGTAAACTATATATCCTGATAAATGTTCGTTTCTTTTTTCCATTAACAGTGTCCTCGTCAGCGCAATGGGATTGACTGCGGATATTTTGTATTGCGTTTTATGAAGGAAATTATTCTTTCTGGTCAAATAGAGATTCCAATCATGGTATGGATCAATTCATAAGTTATATGATTCATTTTGATAATTAACCGATATTTTATCTGAGTAATTAGTTTTAAAATTAAATCGTGCATGTTCTGTTATATTATGTAGTATTTTGATGATTTCAAGTGCGGTACTTACTCGAAAGCAAGATTGGAAGAAATTAAGGAGGAATGATGTCAATTTATTCTTGAGTTGAGAATTCTATAATGTATCTATTTGTAAAGTTATCGGATTTGTAATTATATGTAAATTGATTGTATATGTGATGTTGTTCTGAGGATCGGACTGTGTTGTAATATATTTAAGCAGGTTTATGTGTATAATATTGCAAAGTGATGAATTATAATGTATACTTTAGTTATTGTGTATAATATTGCAAAGTGATGAATACACAAAAATAAGGCCAAAATAATTGTTATATATAAGGCCAAACTGTTGAACTAAAGACCTGGATTATAAGCAGGGAATGTATTTGTTATAAGCAGGTTTATTGAAAAATATATAAAAAATGTGATCATTTAAAAAAAAAATTTCAAAATCGTGAAGACTAGACAGCGCTTTTAAAAAAAGCGCTGCTAAAGGGGCAAAAAGAGGCCTAAAAAAGCGCTGCTATAGGTTGGAAAAGGGGGGGCTAACAAAGCGCTTTAGAAAAGCGCTGCTAAAGGGGGGGTCTAAGACAGCGCTTTAAAAAAGCGCTGCTAAAGGGGGGGTCTAAGAAAGCGCTTTTAAAAAGCGCTGCTAAAGGGGGGAGGTGAAGTGGGATTAGGCAGCGCTTATAAAAGCGCTGCTATAGGGTAAAAAAAGCGCTTCTAAAAGTGCTGATAAAGGCCAAAAAAAAGCGCTGCTAAAGGCCAAAAAAAGCGTTGCCTTTACCTTTAGCAGCGCCACTTTAGGCAGCGCTGCTAAAGGCCAAAAAAAGCGCTGCTAAAGGTCTTTTTTGGCATAGTGAACTCTTTAAGGTTAGTCAATTAGAAATCCTTTTTTTCCTCTTACACTTTTTGGAATTTGGCATGCATTTGGGCTTGGACTTTTACTTTGTCACCCTTTTTTCCTTTCAACATTGCACAAATTTCAAGTTTTGCATATTAATTTTACTAAAGGAAAATTTAACTAAAACAAAAAATATATTAGTTATAAAATAATATTCACTCAGCATTAAAATGACCACTCGCTAGAAAATTTATTGGAGTTTTTCAATTCAATTTTTACTAAGTGTTTTTATCTTTAAAATCACAAGATATCTTGAAAAAAAACTCCCCCTCATAAGAGCACGACAAATCACATTTGATTTTTCCTTTTCTATGAATCGCTTAATAGGAGTGTTGGATTAAAAATCCTCAAGAGTGACACAATCATCTTAGATCCTCGCGTCATATTCATAACCACATTATGAAGGCATTATGATCAAACTATATATATATATATATATATATATATATATATATATATATATATATATATATATATATATATATATATATATATATATATATATATATATATATATATATATATATATATATATATATATATATATATATATATATATATATATATATATATATATATATATATATATATATATATATATATATATATATATAGTCTTTCGCATTGTGTCAAGTTAAAATAAAAACTAATCAATACTTTCCAATTATTAATTAATTTTACATAGATATATTTCTCGTACTTCCCACATGTTCAACACTAATAAAGTACCTGACAGAATATTAAAATACATAAAAAACATAAGGAATCAAGAAAGCTATGATGTTAATTAGGATTCATCATGCTCTAACTCTTTCACCAATGGAGATTTCATGAATGCTAGTTGGTTTCATCTCACGATCATCTTCTTCATTGTTTTCACCATTGCAAGAACAATAACAAGCATATAGAATGAGCTGAACAAGTCCAGAAACTGCTCCAATACTATTGCTTATCTACAAGCACAAATATGTAACAACATTTTCTTTAAATAATATTATTAATACAAAAAAAAAACAAAGAGAAATAATAAACAAGTAATTAATAAATTAATTACCAAGACATATATATCAAAGGGGTGAAGAAGAGCATATGTTGTCCAACACAAACCATTGAGAAAGTTAGCTACAGAAAGCCAAAATGGCATATATTTCACACTCTTAGTTTTTATAACTTTTGCCTGTTTTTACAAAACCAAAATATAATTAATATAATTGAAGTATATATGAAGACAAATTAAGTTTTACAATATCTATTAAATAAGACTTACCATGATTGTAAGAGGAGAGACATACATCATTATGTTGAAGATATCACAAATAACACCAACAATTAAGGATCTTTTTACAGTGCCATGAAGTGCCAACATTGTTATAAGAACAATGGCAGCAAAGAAAATTGCCTCAATGAAAAGATAAAGCACTAGTTTTTTCTGAAATTATCAAAAGAAAAAATAGAGTTACATAATAGAAATCACAAAACAATTGATACCGCTTTCGGTTTTAATTAAATAAACAACGTATCTGAACAAAATATAATGAAAGGATAAAAAAGAAACACTTACTCTTCCTTTGTTAGCAGAATAGATGTAAAATATTGTAAGATAAACAACCTCAAATACAATTCCAATACCATTGATGGTATAGACTAAAGTGCTATTTGGATGCACAAAAGGCATTCCATAAAACACCCAAAATGCACAATTCAACAATGTTGCTAAGTATGGATCTGGCTTGAACTCTTCCACAGCCTTCTTCTTTATAATTCCATAGAAGGTTGGACTACAAAAAAAATGAAATGGATTTGTCATGAGATGTTTAAGTGGTTTGAACATTTTAGTTTCAAAGACAAAGTTCAAAAACATACTATTAAATAAATGTAAAATAATATCAAAATTGCATTCTCCAATTTTTAAAAAATAAAATGGATTTGGTTGATATTAAAAGTAGTGCGTATAAACTAATTTTATAACATCATTTACTAAAATTATAACATTTTATATATATATATATATATATATATATATATATATATATATATATATATATATATATATATATATATATATATATATATATATATATATATATATATATATATATATATATATATATATATATATATATATATATATATATATATATATATTGACAATGTAAAATATTTGTATACTGTTAATCAATTACGAATATGTATTCCGCCAAATCACACGCTTAATTTTAAAATATTGATATGACATAACAGAATTATGGTATAAAATTAATTTATTGATAGCAATATGTTTAATCTCATGTTAAAGATGAATACAGGGTAGATCAAATAATGCAAAATCAAATAATAATAATAATAATAATAATAATAATAATAATAATAATAATAATAATAATAATAGAATAAAGAGAAAAAAGAATTACGCTGGTGAGAGAAACAAGCCGAAAGATATGACATTGCCTGCATACACAAAATTATAAAAAAAAACATATCAAAAACTATATATATACACGTAGTATTTTCATGCAAAAAAAATTAAAACAAGAAACTATAAACATTGTGATGAATATGAAGCAAAAACCTATGATTCCAACGGTTGTGCGAGCTAATGATTGTTTCACCATTATTTCAAAAACTGCAGAGAAAGAGAAAAAATTGGTAGAGAATTAGAGACCGGTTTAATGTTAAAGTTTGATTATTTATTTATATATTTAATTTGGAATAAAATAAACTTGTTGTTATCCATTTTTATGTTGAATATACTTTCAGGTCAAAGGCCTTTTTGCATTTTCATATATTTTAAAATTATGTTTATCAAGCAATCAATTAATTCTATTTATTTATTTATATTTCATTGTTTAAAAGTACTACCTTCCTTTAATTCCTTATTATAAGAGATTTTATTTATTTATTTACAAAATAAATAATGCATCTACTTTATATAAAAAGTATTTTTTTATAATAGGAATGGTGTAAAGTAAATTATATAATTATTCAATTTATGTATATTAGCAAAACTATATTTATAAATAAAAGACTTAATTATAGTTTTCGTCTCATATTTTACCTATTTTATGAAATTAATCCTTTATTTTAAATTTAAACAATTTTAATTTCCTATCATGTATGTAAAATTAACGATGTTATCATATTTTAAAAGATAAATTTCTTGTTAAATATGACACATTATTGGAATTGTTTTTATAATAACCATATATTAAATATAAATTATCATAATAATCAAGATTTTCAGGAATTTTTCAAAATGGCTACCAATTCAACCTTCGATCGCCATATGGAGTGGCGAATGAGAAGAAACTGAAAAATGACAAAGATGAATTCGCCATCTGGATTGGCGAATGAGGTCAATTTGCAAGGAATTCGCCAGGCTGATTGGCGAATGAGTGTTTCAATTTTTTTCTCCTCATTTTAAGGTTTAATTAATTTAGATTTAATTTTATATCTTTTAAATATTAATAGTTTTAAATAATTAATTGAAGTTTAAGTAATGTTAAAAAAATGAAATAAATATTAAATTATTTTGTTTTTTTTTCATAAAAGCAATTTAAATTAAATTATAGTTTATGAAAAACATAAAATATAATTTAATTTAAATTGCTTTAAAAGACTAAAAAATATATGTTTTTTTATAATTAATTGATATTTAAATGACATTAAAAGATATAGAAATTTAATTAATATTAAAATATATTAGAATGAAATTACAATTGAACAAAAAAAACTAATGGTCGACTCTATCCAAGCGACCACCGGTGCCACATTGTGGGGGATGCGCGCTGCGACGAGGTCTACGACGAGGTTGTTGTGGTGTGTCTGGTCGTTGTGTGTTGAGTTGTGGAGGAGGATTATGTTGGGACGACCCCGGCGTATTAGCTAGGTCTTGCATCATTTGACCCCAATAGTTGGGAGGTCCACTGTCAACGGCACTTCCGTAGTCAAGCCCAATGCCCATGTTTTCGAAGGATTGTCGGGGAGGTTGGATGGAGTATGGACGGTATGGTTGTCCGAATGCGTACATGGAATTGGGTTGGAAATGGTGTGTTGGTTGTTATGGGGTGTGGTTGTCAAATAGTGGATAGTTGGAGGGGTAGTTGGAGGGGGTAGGGTCAAATGAGTTGTCTGGGCTATAGGCGGAGGGGGTAGGGTCAAAAGACGTATCAGGGCTATGATGGTACGGTGGTTGAGGCTGGGACTGGGTGGGTGGCATGTATGGGTTTTCGTAAGGCTGATTTTGGGCACTGGACTGTTGTTGTGTGTTTGACGAAGAAGCGCGTTGCCTTGGGTCGACCAAATAGGTTGGTTGGGACAGGAAAGGCTGAGATGTCGTGACAGACCTAAACCAAGTCATATATTGAAGAGTTGGCCTAGCCCCGTGCACAATATGGTCGGTTAAGACATGCTGCCTTCTTCTCTTCCAGTGTTTACACAACTCCTTCGCAAACTCCTTCCAATGACTGACACTCCACTGTGCGTCCACCCGTTTTTGATGCCACTGCCCCAACTCTACCGGAGCATCTAGAATTTTCTGATGTATCCCAAATTGTAGCTTAACCCGGTCACTTTGGTGCATCTCCACCATAGTGAACCTAATTATTGGTGTTCTTGATGTCCACACAGCAGCATCATTGGGGTCAGGTTGGTGGTCGAGACCCTCGTACGACATCCAGACAAACTACAATAAAGGTGGATACATTTAGACAGACAGAGATAGAGGAGTTTATGCATATAAGTTAGACAAATTAAAGGTAAATAACTTACATCATCGGGCCCAAGGTGGTCGATGAGGTTGCGGTATTGAATTATAGAGTGTCTGGGACATCTCTGATAATTCATCCCTGGACAGACCACCTAAAAAAAACAAACACATATAAGTTAGCATCTAAAACACATCTCACAAATTATTAAGTTACAAAGAAAATTTAGTTGCTAAATCATCTTGAAAAGAAAATTACTTCTTGGCGTACGGGAATGTAAAAGAATTTCGGTTTATCGGAGCAAGCATTGGCATCCTGGACCAACCCCACGCTTGTAGGAGATAGGCACAACCATAAAAAGTACAAGAATTTTTTTTTTTGATGTTTTGCAAAGTGTGCTATATAGATGGTCGAGTACAGCTGATCCCCAACTATATTCGTGCACTTTGTTTATATTTTGTAATAAAGGCAAATACATGGTATGGACGTTATTCCCAGTTCCGTTTGGAAATAAAAAGTGACCGAACAAAATCATAATATAACACCGTGTCTTGACTGTTATGTCATATTCGGTGCTATCATCAGATAAGACAATATTGTTGTATTGTTCTCTGAGGTATTTTAAATTAATTCCCTGACCCCTCGGGCGGCCATTGCTTTCCGCCTGAGGTACGTCCACACAAAGAGGGGCGCCTAATAAATCTTCGCAAAGTCGGTCAGGGACACCAACTTTGTCGTTGACGGCCTTACCATCGATGTGTAGGCCGAGCAACATGTACACGTCTTGGAGAGTCATAGTACACTCACCAAAAGGTAGGTGAAATGTATGTGTCTCTGGTCTCCAACGTTCTAACAACGCTAGAATAAACTTCGTATCGAGAGAGTATGGTTTGATTTTGATCAAATCACCAAACCCACAATTACGAAGGTACCCCTCTATGAGTGGGTTGTGTGGTATGTAATCATGCACATGATATCGAAACCTTGATACATCCTGCAAAATAATTAATGCTACGTTAGAGAAGAAGTAAAATAATTAATGTTACGTAGGACAAGAACTAAAAACTTAGATAAGAACATAGATAAGAACTAAAAACTTACAAACTCTACAATGTATTCAGTTGTGCCTCTATGAGAGTCACCCATGGTGAGTAAAGACATTGTCGTTAGAGATGTTGAGATGTTAAGAGTCTTTGAGTTTAGGAGTTTGGGACTTAGAAAGTTTGAGAGTTTGAGAGTTTGAGACTTAGAAAGTTTGAGAGTTTGGGACTTAGAAAGTTTGAGAGTTTGAGAGTTAGAGAGTGTGAGCAGAATTTGCTGGGTAAAGACCCTATATTTATATTCCACGATTGGATGTGTGTTGTAAGTGCATGCTGAACAAGTGGCATGATGCATGTGTGTTGTAAGTGCATGCTGAACAAGTGGCATGATGCATGTGTGTTGTAAGTGCATGCTGATCAAGTGGCCTGATGCATTGATTGTTGTAAACACATGCTGAACAAGTGGCCTGATGCATGGGTGTTGTAAACGCATGCTGAACAAGTGGCTTGTCCCGTCTTATCAAGCATTAGGCATGCAGAAAGAGAATCTCGTAGGCCTGCATGGTCATTGTAGGCATGCAGTGTCACAGAATGCTGCAGCATGTCATTGCTTTCAAATGCATTGATTGTGGTAAACGGATGCGTGACAAGTGTCCTGATGCATGCATGGCCACATGTGAAACGCAGAGTCTTGCATTGTCTTGCATTGTCCTGTCTTATCAAGCATACTACATGTCTTTGATTTAATTTTAAGGCATTATTTTTTTATGTTAATTTGTTTTATATTTATTATAGTTTGTTTAGTGTAATACGTATCCAAAAATATGTAATTTATGCAAAAATATAGTATGTTAATTTGTTTTATATTTATTATTGTTTGTTTAGTTTGTTTTATATTTATTATAGTTTGTTTTATATTTATTATAGTATGTTAATTTGTTTTATATTTATTATAGTTTGTTTAGTGTAATACGCATCAAAAAATATGTAATTTTAAGTCAATGGTTTAGTGTCACATGTGAAACGCAGAGTCTTGCATTGTCCCGTCTTATCAAGCATTAGGCATGCAGAAAGAGAATCTCGTAGGCCTGCATTGTCATTGTAGGCATGCAGTGTCACATGTGAAACGCAGAGTCTTGCATTATCCCGTCTTATCAAGCATTAGGCATGCAGAAAGAGAATCTCGTAGGCCTGCATGGTCATTGTAGGCATGCATTGATTGTGGTAAACGTATGTGTGACAAGTGTCCTGATGCATGCAGGGCCACATGTGACACTCTTTAAACAATCAAACACTTAGACTATTTATTAAAGACTTTAAACTCTTTAAACTCAAACACTCAAACACATTAAACACTCAGACACTCGAACACTCAAACACTCGAACACTCAAACACTCGAACACTTAAACCCTCAAACACTCAAATCCTTAAACACTCAAACACTCAAACACTCAAACACAATTTTCGCTATGTCTCAAACACCACAATATATGATTTCCGCTCATCTAAACGGTGAAGTTTTCGAATGTGAAATGTCGGGTTACAATTTCAGAAACACGGATGTTACAAGATTTTTAATTGACAGAAGGTCTAATTTTTTACACCTGAAGTCAAGAATAGAAAAAAAATGCAATGTGGTTCAGTTGGGCAAATAATATACAAAAACCCAATATTTTTTGGCGGACATGACTCATGCAAATTTTTCCTTTTAAAGGTGCGAGACGATGAAGATGTGTGTAACATGTTCCGCAGTCACGAGTATTCTGGGTTCTCAGATATCATGTTATATGTTACGTTACAACAACAACAACTATCTCAGAAACTTGATTTGTCTTAAGTTTTTTGCGATTCTGAAGATGAACACGCTG